TCATAAACTCATTTTATCAGATAGAATTGTACGATAAATTCATACTAAAAAACATGCAAATTGATCTATAGATATAAGAACAATATTTTCAAATAATTATCAATAATCATCAATTCTATTGGATGAATAGAATTAATTAAAATCTTTTAAATGAGATTTGTTTGGCCATTAGTATAGCTTTCCAAATGAACCTGTCGTTTATATTTTCAATAGCAACTATACTTGTCCAATCAAGTGAATATACGAGTGAAGAGTGTACCCATCGTATGGTTAGGTTTTGCAAAGAAAAATGCCTATAAGTCCAGTTCGGCTTGATCAATTTTCATGATTTTTTTTGTTCAATTGGTCCATAGATGGTTATACACTAGTAACAAAATCAAGTTCCAGCTGTCGTAGTTTCCGAGATAGCAGGACAACAATGTCGAAATATCTAGCTTCTAACACCATATAGTGATATAAAACGTAGTTTTTTATTACATTCCAAATATTGTAAAATTATTTTTCTAATTAAAGTTGTAGAGCTCGTTAAGTGCTTCCAGAATATGTTTTTGGTTTTACCTTTAAACGAAGTTCTACAAATAAAAACCGTCAAGAACAAGGTGTAAATACCTGCCATGTTTAGTGTGGAGCGACATTAAAATCATTGGCTAATTCATTCTAACGGATTTCATCTAAATAAATTGATTGGATATAATAGAGGTAAGGGGGGAAAATAATTTGACAAGAAAAAGGATATGTCTGGTGAAGTTCGTTGATATAAGAGATTCACGCAAAGTATAAGTATATTTGACGTTCAGACAAATTGTAGAGCGGCATTTTAAATTTTTTCGTTCGTATAACTCCATGAAAACTCAACCTTTTGCCGCAAAAATTTAACCATTGTTTGAGCTCAGAGAGTACAGAAATACCTCAAAAACTGAAATGAAAATCTTTCTTCGTTCATGAGAAAATTAAATTTTACTCAGAAATTATAAGGTGACATTTACATGATATAGGAATGTAGAGCGATATGAAAGTCATGGAAATTTCAGTTGAACAGATTTTATTTCAACATATTCCATTGAGTATCGAATAAAGTACCAAGGGAAAATATTTATCACATAAAATGATTTTACTCGCAAACTATTTATAGGAGTAGTCTGTATACCCAGTTTATAGGAAACATGCATGTATTACATAGAAATTGCCTGTAAAATAGTGAATTTCGATCAAAGGACATGAAAGTGTAGGGAAAATATCATTTTTATACGTATTCGACATTGCTCTATTAAATAGAATAGTTACTTTTCCATTATCATTAACTTTATTTTCTTCGATTTTTTACCCCGAACGGTACAAATAGCGCGCTCTTCACCCATACATCTGATATTCTTGTTGAATGTGTGCTTCAATTCCATTTTACTCATGATAATACCTATAGATTGTTAAGGTAGCAGTATATTATATATTTATTGACACAACTGAATGATATCCATCAAATAAGATGCAATTCACCAATGGTATATTTTTTCAAATGAATCTATAGCTTAAAATTTTGCTTCTAAAGTAAAGCTCTTCATATTTCGCAATACCAGTATACGTAATCTTGAGAAGATAATATAGTTACTGATCTATTATGTGATAGAACTACTTCAGATATTTTACAAGATATACATAAATCCATTGATATATCTCTGGTATTGATTTTGAAGTTACAATCCTTCATGGAAATTATACTCGTTGAATCCTATAGATCTTACTATACATATCCGTTATCATTTATAGGGATAGATCACATGTCAATCATATATTTTAAGTCGAACATATCGAATAATATATATATTATAAACAGTATATGATTACCAATGAATCGACACCTAGACTATATATACCTCATTCAATAGAAATAAATTAGATTTATCAATTGATGTATATATCAGCGTTGGCACATAAGGGAACTCGAATAAAAAAAAGGAAAATACTCGATACAAGCTCACCTGTTGAGTTTTTCCGCTCCTAGGATAGACAATAATAACACAGAAAACATTGAATTATACATCATTCGATAGAGAAAAATGAGATCTATCAAATGGTATATGTATTAGCATTGGCACACCTTTTAGCATGAATCTGAAAGGTAAATTCTTGAATACAAGCACATTTATTGAATTTTCGACATGCTTCACGTCATACAATATAACACAGACAACATCCAATTACATGTCATTCGATAGACCAGAATGAGATCTATCGAAATCAAGTATGTATTAGCCTTGGCACATACTTTTACATGACTCTGGAACATTAGTCGTCCATAAGAAGCACACCTGTCAAGTTTTTCATATGTCATAGTTCAAAAGGTGATACAGTTAGCAACCAATCATGCCTTATTCGATAGAAATAGACGAGTTCTATTGAATGGTGTATGTATCAACGTTGACACATAAGGGAACTCCGATAAAAAAGCCAAATACCCTACAACAAGCACATCTCTAGAGTTTTCGAGATCATATAGCTCAAAAAGTAAGAAGGAAAACATTGAATTATACATCATTCAATAGCGTAAGATCAGATATATCGAATGGTATACATGTTAGCTTTGGCACATATTTGAACATGAATTAAAAGGTAAACTATTGATAACAAGCATACTTATTGAGTTTTTAACATATTATAGCTGTAAAAAATGGCATAGATAGCACTCAATGATACGTCTTGCGATAGAGGTGAATAGGATCTATCGAATGGTAGACATATCAACTTTGACACATACATTTACATGAATCTCGAATGTACATTCTTGGTAACAAGCACACCTAGTGAGTTTTTCACATGCTGTCGTTTAAAAAGTAATACTAACAAGACTAAAATATACCTCATTTAACAGAGCTAAAATGAGTTCTATCGAATGATGTATGTGTCAACCTTGGCACATATGTGAATGTGAATCAAAAAGGTAAATACTCGATATCAAGCACAGTTATTGAAGTTTCGATACACTTCACTTCAAAAAGTAACACAGATTACACTCAAGCACATCTCATTCAATAGAGCTGAGTGAGATCTATGCAATGGTACATGTTTCAACCTTGGCACATATTTGAAGATAAATCAGTAACGTAAATTCTCAATACAAAACAGATCTATTCAGTTTTTTACATGCTATGGATCAAAAGTTAACAGAGATAGTACTCAAATATATCTTATTTGATAGGGCCTAATGAGATCTATGAAGTAATATACGTATTGTAGATACCTGATAGGAAATATACCGATTGAGTTATTCAAACTTCATAGTTGAAAAGGTAACAAATAACATTCAATGATACCTCTTTCCATAGATCTAAATGAGATCTATCGAATGGTATGTATATCAGCGTTGGTACATATTGCAGCATCAATCAGAGATGAAACCGGTATCGGCGACCGACCGATCCGGTCCCAGTCTGGATTTTGTACCGGTCATCATTTACCGTTAGACCGGCCGGTAGTCGATTGACTGGTTGAGATCGACAGACCGGTCGTGACCGATAGACCGGCGATCTATTGCTTTTTGTTTGCTTAGTTTTCTGCTTATATTATATAAATCAACACAAAATTTCTGTTGAATCATAATGATATTACATGGAAAACACATGAATAAGTCATTTCTCCGCCTCAATTACATCTCATATAGCACTATCTAAACACAGAATAAGTATGGGCACATATCTTAGACCGGCCGGTCCGGTCCAACCTACTTGGACCGGTACTGGTAACCTTTACCTTGAAATCAGACCGGTTCCATCTCTGGCATGAATCTGGAATGGAAATCCTTAATAATAAGCACACCCGTGGTGTTTATGGGACGCTATGGTTGAAGAGGCAATACATATATAAATAAATTATAACTCATTCTAGAGAACTAAATGAGACGTATCGGACGGTATCTAAATGAGCATTGATACGTGTGTCAAAATGAATATTGACCTTCCAATGTGAATCTGCAATGAAAATAAGATTCAATACTTACGACGAAATGCCTTATAACGGGCTTAGTGCATTCTCGTAATAATTATTAATTACGATTAACAATGAATTTCATTTAAAATGATAAGATTATTTGAGATTTGATGAATTTTGAAAGTTTATGTAGAATACATCTGTCTGTATATGTGAGTTATAAGTTGAGTAAGTGATGTCGAAATGTGCATAAAAGGTTTTGAAAAGCTTTTAAATCCAGTTTATTGATTCAGATGTATTTAATAATACATCATTCGATAGATTTTTTCATGTTGAGTCGAATGAAATCGGTTTTAGATGTGGCACAAGTCGTAGAGCAAATCGATATATGAAATATATGTTTAAAATGGTGATTTTTGACGTTTTTCAGGTGAGTTTATTGAAGTTGTTATTTAAAAGATGCAATGGAGCACATCAATCGATAGAGTAAGTCGAGATGCATCGAAATATATAAGTTTCCGTGAGTTCTAGAGCGAGAGATCGAATACTTTTAGGAAATACAGTTTTTATGAATTTGTTCCCATAGGAGAATAAGACTTTTTCATATGTGTGGAACATTCTGTGAAGTTTATATGAAATGTAAGTATACCATTTGATAGACCTCGTTGAGTTCTACCTGGCACACAACAAAGAACAAGTGGCACACTGCGTCAAGTGAATCGGTTTAAGAAAAACTCGAATCTCTCGCCAATTTCATCTACATACATATTCAAGATTCATTTCAAATTTATCGGTGTAAATCACTTAAATCAATTCATCCATCAAGAGCGTTGTTGTTGTGTGACCAAAATGGCAAAAAATAAACTGTATGATAGTTCGAAATATTTGTAATACATTTATTCTAAAATGTGTGCAATAGCTGTAACAAAATCAAGGAGCTCTAAGTAAATGTGTCGT